TGGGGGTAGCCCTGCGATGGACTAGCATCCCATCCAGGGGGGAGTAGAAATACTCCTAGTCGCTTCATGCTACAGAAACTACATATTTGTATTTGTATACTTACATGATCAATAATCTGTATCCAACCTGCAGCTTATAGCCATATACTTATTTTTGATGAGAAATAAGATGCGGATATAAGCTGCAACGCTGAAAGGCTTAGGTTGGCTCTTGAAGACCGTTTTCGCGATGCTATTGCACGGTTGGAGTCAATTTCAAGAATCTTATTTGAGGAAAAAAGATCCATCGTCAGAATGCTATACCAGGATTCTGGCTAACGTCCATTGTTTTTAAAATGAATGCTGAGAGCAAAGAGTAGTGAACTTTAAACAGGGACTTCGTGGAGCCGTTCATTCCATAAGGTCCTTTTTATATTTATTCACGTTGCCATGGCAACGGCACATGCGTCAGCTTAGCTATCAAAAAACCGAAGTTTGTGTTGTTAACTTGCTTGCTGCCATTTTTGGCAACCAAAGGATCGAGAGTTTTAGACAAAAAGGTGAATGAAACACAGGTATTAACACCTGCGTTTAGCCACCTTAAAAAGGATCATAAGAAGAGTATACTCAATTTAGCTGTTCTCTTTATTTTAGTCGAGGATGCATAGAAGGTTGCTTCTGCAAAGATGACAATATGGTGTTGAAGAACGGCCAATGCGTACCCCAGTCCCAGTGCTCGGACCAAGTTGGGCAAGGTCAGTTCCACTGTATTTTAGACTATTTAATCACGTGAAAACTCAATTAGATCATCCCCATTGATCCTCTTTGACGAGTCTTTTGATAACTTCCCGCTGCATTGCATAACGTCATTGAACAAAAGTGAGATCCGTATTGGGAAAACATTGGTCGAGTTTTTCTACTCGGCTTTTTTAAAACCTCTGAAGCATTAATGAATTAAAACCTCAGCTTTAATGAATTTTCCAATTTTCGGTCAACTGGAGACTTTTAAGTAGTATGCCCCGGGGTTCGAACATGTCTCAGTTGTTGACTCAAGTAAGAAAGCTTAGTTACTATGAAATTCGTTGTTTGCGACGTCACTGTATGATGCATTTACAATAGCTAAGAAGTAATGATTTTGTTTAATCCTTTCAATTGGGTTTAATTATTCATCAGCCGTCCAATTATGTCCAGATGAAGACCAGGAATACCTTCCATCGGGGAAAACCTGTGCCGCTCTGGAGGTTGGTGACCAACCAAGCGTGCCTGGTTGCTACTGCAAAGATGGTCTCTATTGGAACGAATTTACCAAGAAGTGCGTGGTGAAAAATGAGTGTGGATGTGTCCACGAAGGAGAGTACTTCGAACAAAACGCTACCTCTCCAATAGACTGTTCATCGTGAGTATTTACCATTTACCTCATGTGGTCAGCAAACCAGTTGGATGGAATAGTAGGAGACTGACCTAATGTACCGAATTCTTCACCATCGTGAATTATAATCCATCAAATATTTTCGCTCGGGCGCGATTGGTCTAAACGCGTCACGTGACCGAATATTCCCCCGCTAAAACTGGGGAATATCCGAGGTTAGTATCACCTAACTAGTGGACTAATGCAAATCCTGCATTTTAATTGGCTACGCTACTAGAGGACTATTACTAATAGTCCTCGATTAGCGAAATTGGCGCAATCGAGCGTGACGCTTTCTTTCGTTTATTCCCAAATAAATATTTCTTCAACTTGCATTTGCTAACTTCATTATTGCCTTTTCTGTCCGACTAGTTGGGTGATACTAAATCAATTAGACCCTTCGCCCTCAAGGGCTACGCGGGCTACGGGTCTAATTGTTAAATATTCCCCAATTTTCAAAAATGCGCGTGTTACGAAAAATATTTGAAGGATAATAAACACAATAACCTCCATTTGACTGTTCGCTTCTCGGAACAGATAATGTCCGCGGACAAATGTCCGAGCATACTTTCGCGCCAAATGGAGCCTATTGTTTATATATTCATAATATCTCAGTGTGAGCTCCTCTTCCCCGACTCGCCCGTGCTGATGTCTCTATACCTGGGAGCCAAAAGGTACCGAGTGAACTATTTATCTTTCTTTCCTGTTAGTTTGAAAACGTCGGACCAAATTGCGAAGGTGTAAATGTAGAACAACCTATTTTACTTACTAATCCTTAACTATTGCTTTTTCAAACGAGAGCAACCTTACTAGGTTCGCTGTTGGAAGCTAGTTTGATAGCCACCAGCCACCCCCGCCACAAATGATAGTTGCCCAGGAGACGCAACGGTTTGAAAATGACTCTTTTTCAACCATTTTCGGTTTAAAATGTTTATCACAGTATGGCCGTTTTGTACTGCGATCAGCCGTTTTTGGTTTATTGGGTCGCTACGCTTTTTCATGCTTTGTTTTCGGTGATTTGGTTGAAAGAACAGTTGACTACTGATTAACCTTAATTATTTAGGTAAGAAAAAAATAAATGAAACTAGCCGGCTTACCGAGTTTGACGCCGCTAAAATGACAATCAACCAAATCAACCGAAAAAGTTAGTTTAAATAGAACAAGAAATGAAAATCTCAAACATCTATATACCGGTGCAGTGCTCTACCAACTGAGCTATCAAGCCAACTGGGAGCTAGTCACTTTGAGGTCGTAATATACCCGTAGGTGGTGGAGATTGCATGTTAATACATGAAAGATTATACATTTGAAATGCAGAGCGAGAGTTTATGACAAGGATGATCGTCACAGTTATGTGCACAACTGAAGCAATTGTAAAACTAAAGCCTCAAAAACAATTTGAAAAAAAATTTAACCAACCATGGGTTGATACCTCTCCTAAATGGACGATGTTTCATTTTTTTGTCCACTAGCACATGTAACGGTGCACGAGAATGGGTACAAAATCCAAACATCGAACCTCTGCCTGAATACGAATGCGCCGCGTACGGTCAGGATCAATACCGTACATTTGACGGCAAATGGATCAGCTTTGGTAGTGAGAAGTGCGAATACCAACTCACGGAAATAAAAAACACACGGAATAAAATTAGTGTGTCAAACGTGGAGTGCGTCGACTCACTGGAACTGCAAATGTGTAAGAAAGTACTCATTGAAACTAAAAGCGGGACTGTCGAACTTTTCCAAAAGACCGTACAGATAACGTTAAAAGGTGGCAAAATAGTGGAATATACCCCTGGAGATTATCCACAGCCGTGCAGCAGCAGTGCGCTAAACAACGTGGAGATATTCAGTAAGGGATTATTCATGATCGTACGCGTGTTCGACGAGTATAATCCATTCTTGCCCTTGTATGAGGTACGTAGTGGTATTTTTACTAGAATTCATGGCTAATGAATGGGTGACGTAACATGTAGTATATCAAAACATTGTATCATATGTCGAATGATTCTCGCATTGTGATTGGTTCTTACTTATGATTTATTGGAGGACCGACGCATAAGTGACGCCACTAACATTGTTTGTAGATTCCATGTTACTGTTCAGTAATAGATCACAGAAGACGTCAAAATGTGGTAAAATGCACGGCAACATGAATCTATTCGTTACCACTTGGGAAAAAAAACGCGCGGGGTAGAATTTTGGACGAACTTTATTTGGAGCCATTACTTCATCTAAATTAGTCAACTGGTGTTTCTTGAGAGGGAACCTAAGCTTACAAGCCCCGTGGTTTTTGTTAGGTTCCGTCGTCATTTTGTTTTCTATCCTTTAATATATAAATTGTACTTTTGTATCTTCATTGTGATCTTGTATATTAATTTTTGTTATTTATTGATCATTGTATTAATCATTGCTAAAAACAGGTTAAATACGACCACGGCAATCGAGTGTTTATCACGCCAAATATGAAGTACAAGGGAACAGATGAGCTTGCTGGAATATGCGGTAATTTCAACGAACTTGACAGCGACGATTACAATAAACGAGACGGAACCATCGCCACTAATGATGGTGACCTTGGTGACGGTTGGACCAATGAGTTGGGATGTGGAGCCCCGCGAGATACTGACTTCGAAACTGTTTGCGCAGAGCATAAAGATCGAGAAAACTGGGCGAAGAAAGGTGAGTGTGAAGGGCACTGATTTACTTTGTACGTTATGCTATCTCACAGAAAGTTCTCCTCTATTCCTCCACAACTTGTGGAGTAATATGGGGCGCTTTCCATTCAACCAAAAATTTCGAAAATCTCGAACCGGAGCCAAATGGTACAGAAGTGTCCTGGGAAAATTTCCAGAAAATCCAGAAACTGTCGAATTTCCGAAGAGCGAACCAACCGAAAATTCCCGAAATTCCGGGAGGAAAGTCAAATGGAACGAAAATTCCCGATACGAAACTTGCGAAAATTTCGGTATACCTCGCAAGGTTTGTCTTCTTTTTCCGGAAATTATGGGCAGTGCTGTTCCATCCGTCATTGGAAATTTCCGGAAAATCAAACCGGAATGTTTCATTGAATGGAAAGCGCCTTTCGTCGTGGCTAAACCGGATAAATGCTAAACGTGGTGTTAACAGAGCTGTCAAGTAACGCGAGCAAAAACAGTGTAAGTAATTCAAGTTTCCCCGAATATTCTACCAAAATCAAGAAATTTGCAGTGAGCACGGTTACTCTTTACCCTTCCCCTGTGCTTCCGACAAAAATCTTTCCCGGAAATGCATATATTGGCTTTATAAATTCAAAACCTTAAACCATGTCTGACAATTGCTGACCACAGTGTGCCATATGCCACACTTAGAGGTAACAAGATTGAAACTCTACGATTTTGTTCATACTATATGAAAAACTCGATCAGCTACCGGGGTACATTGGATCACTGCATCCAGGTGCTATGCTAATGATTTCGAGCAATCCTATGGCAAAGTTGGAAAACGCAAAACAAAACAAGAACGTGATGGTTTTTAAGTTTATTAATTTGAATAAATCCGCATATAATTGTTATTATTACTGTACATATTTTTAGACTTTTAGCTAGATACACGACCCTATAAGCAAACCTGTTTGCTTTAAACAAAATTGTGTTTATATAAAGGTTTGTTGTTGTTGTGGTTGTTGCAGTTATAGTACCGCGCATTTGCTAACCATTTACTTTATTCTTTTAGGGTGTAATATGATCAATTCAGAGAAGAACTTCACCGTCTGCCACAGTGTTGTTCCTCCTGATCCATACTACGAGGCCTGTCTCCACGAAAGTTGTTTGTGTAGCAAAGGAGGCGACTGTGCATGCTTCTGCGCAGCCGTGGCTTCTTACGTAAGAGCATGTAATCAGCATGGAGTGTCTATTCTCTGGCGTCGAGAAGGATTTTGTGGTAAGAGCGTAAAAAGCCTTAACGGTTTTGCTGACGTGAACTATTTGATGTGCCTTTTTTCAAACTTAGTAATTTACAACGATTTTCCTGGTTTTGACGCACTGTCGTGGTATTGGTATTTCTTATTCCTAACTTTACCTCACTTACCTTTTGTTTCCACTTTGGGAACACAACATAGCCTGTTCAAAACATGTGGCCTACATGTACAGCGCAATGGAGCAACGAACCGGTCATGGATTAAGCTTCTTCCAGTTATGTCATTTGATAAATTTGACTGAGACAGCGAACAATTTATATTCGCCATTTCTACATCCCAAAATTCTCAATTCTCATTTTTCCTGGGTATTAAGGGAGGGGGGGAGGGGGCAAACAAGGTGTATTGTGGGGGATGTGGAAATGGCGAATAGAGGGAATGAAAGATCAAAAACCAAACGAGTTTCTTGATGATATCAAAGCACGCTAACAGTCATTAGTATCACCCCACTAGTGGACTAATGCAAATCCTGCATTT